AATACCATGCAGCTTAGGGCGACCTCCCCGGTTCGCCATTTTGGATCAGTATTAGCTCAATTCCGGTTGTTGTTCATGAAGAGACATCTGCAAAGGTTCTGGGCGGTGATGAGACTTCCTCAGGGGTTCGTAACACAAGAGTTGCCCATGAGGTCAGGGACAAGTGCTAAGCCTAAATAGGAAGGAGGTTTATGACGGTAAATTTACCAGTCAGTTGGTATTTGTGACGTCAATTGGTCACTTGGGGTTTATGACGTCAAAAACCCATCCCTAGTCGGCTCCGAAGACTGACCGGATAATTTTGTGTGGACAGCCACGGAGAGTAAGGTTCGGGTTCGGCAGCACCCTAGATATTCCGGTCAGGCAGACATATCGAAGCCCAGCTGTTGTTTCCAGATGTACATTGGGAAATAGCACGGAGGCCAGATGCTCGATCTTGTTAGCCTTGATCTCCAAGGACATCTGGCACCCCTTAAACCACGCATTGGGAAATGTCATCGATATGGCTGCCGCCATCGAGTTCCTTGAGAGGGGGATTCTTTTAATAGATCCGGCGAGGTATGACGGGAAAAGGCTCGTCGTAGATGATAGAGATGCATTCACAAACACCTGCTCGTTTTCTGCCAAATCATCGGAAGTATCGTTCAAGCGATGATCTGATGATGATGTAGTCCTGTTGCTGGCAAGGGCTGTTTCGTCACTTGGTGTCGCCGTCGTTGATAGTGGCGAGTGTTTTCCCACATTGCCTTCACGTTCGGTTGCGTCTGCTATGCGTCAGGTATCCATAGTCATGGCCGATGGTGCTACGCACGTTGCAACTTGTCCATCGTGGCTGATTCGATTTTTCGGCGAACACGGTGGAGTCGTTCTTCCACACTGGCTGGCACGGAGCCACTAACTTTAATTGCCAACGTTTTCAATGACTCGGATGACCAGCCCTGAAGATTCGAGATCAATCGACGACAGTTTGCTTTGCCAGAGAAACAGTGTGGTGGTGCGCCCGATGCTTCGTGATGGCATATGCAAACCACGCCGAGAAACCACCTTCCCGTAAGAATTCTTTGGCTACTGGCTCTTGGTCCCTGTGTCGCCATTGTTCCGATATACCTTTCGGCACGCGCTGGAAACTGTTTAGCTGGCTCAAAAGCACGGTGGCTGCATGAGACGACCCCGGCTCTACGGCATGAATGCTAGCTTCAGAGGTTGATTCCATGTACGGTTCAAGCGGCCAATTGCTGGGCCAAGAGCAGCGACTGATGGGATGAAGGTTAAGGTTGTAAGGTTAAGGGAAGAAATCCACGTCAAGAGGCCAGTCTTAAATCTGCTGCGCAATGCCAGCCCTCAATCGCCGCTAAGATGCGGGGTGAACAGGAGACCGTAGTAACGAGCTAGACCAAAACGTTAATGATCATCAAACGGGCTGGAAGCTGAGGTCAAGGAGAGCTTAACATGGGTGTAGACGGTCCAAGCCACAAGCCCATGACTGAGACCAAGGGATTAGCAGATGCGCCCAGGCCCTTACATCGATCTCAATGGGTCGCACTGTCTTGCCCAACAAGGCATCTCACTAGTCACGCGTAAACCTATGATAGCCTAAGCAAAATATGCCGGGTTCAATCTTCACCATCACACAACACTATAGGCAATAGAGGAGCACCAACAGCCGCATAAACAAGGATCATTTGTCGTCAGTTCTCATTCTACCGTCCAACGAGCCGTGGACGGCTTCCCCTCGTTGCTACTACTGCCCTCTCGGCTGGTCCATCCTACCCGCCGAATCTTCTAACTGCCATGCTGAGTACTGTGTGTCTGAGCATTGTCTAGTCGGACATTCTCTGGCTGAGCGTCGGCTGGCTTGCTGCCGTCCGTCGGACCGTTTGTGCCGTTTGTCTGGCGATCGGTGTCCGCTGCCGTGTCATGACTGGCAGTATTGTTGCTTTCAGACGCCGTTCTTGGAGGTATGATGTCGCCCATATTGACGTGTGTGTGGACGGGTGCATCGTTGTCATCGAGTTGGAAAGTAGACATATTGGAACGCGAAGGCGGCAGCTGTATAATGCTTTGAGAGAGATTGGAGATGTCATAGACGATGGAAGTATGCGTGCTGTTTATATATGTGCATTCACCCTGGCACGGCGACCTCCTCGGACTGTGTCGTGCATCGGCATCCATCATCCATGCTTCGACAAGCTGTCTTGCAGGCGGACGTACAGGAGGCTGTCTCGTCCGCTGACTCTGCATTCAGCGCCGCCTTCCACCCATGCCGCTAACGGCTCGGCTCGACTACTTGTTGGCACGCCCTGCTGTGGCTGTTCTGGGAGGATGCACCCATATGGCTGTGTGGTCGTTGGGCGACAGCGTCTGATGCAAAGTTCCACGATTCCATCGCATGGAACTCAATGCTCCCATGAACCGGCCGGCCGACCCTAGGGGTTTCTTTCCCGAGCAATAGTTCGAATCCTGCGGCATGGTATCTGGTAGATCGATTAACGCGCCGTGGGACCATTTTTCTCAGCGGGCTTGCTCGCCTTGGCGCTGCGGGTGGACGATGATGGCAAGTTTAACAGCAGGAAACAGGGATTGGGCAATCACGCCGCTATATAGTGTAGATTGATGATGGATTGCGACACCCGTTGATCAGGGTGGGTGGCCGCCATGCTGGGCCTCGAGTCTACGTCCTGTTGGGATGTGGTGGGGTGATGGTTACGCTTTGTGGTCACAGTTCAGCTGGCACACCATTCGGGCGGGCTCCCACCCGATGATCGCGGCTCCTCCCCAGTTGTGTCTACGCCACTGGGGGTCACTACGGCACGGGACGGTTCCCCGCAGACTAACATGAACTGAAGGGGTCATGGGTGCCACAACTACAACGGGTCACAGCTACCTCCCAAGCGCGCCGACCAACCCAAGGTACGCACGGAGACTGTATGCGTAAACCCAGCCATATAAAGCCTGCCTTCAACCGCCCATGGCCACACTTATTATCTCGCTAAACCTGGCCCCTTGTTCTTCAGTTGTCGACGTGTGTAAGCAAAACGAGGTTCACGCTACGAATTTGTTACGATGGGTGCTCCAGCTTCTACTCTCTGCGACATGCGATGCCACACAACCCAGACGTTTCGGCAACCTGCGAGTCTTGCAGGTATTCTGGCACCTATTGACAACACTAGGACCACGGTTTATGCCGCCGAAGCTCAGTACCAGAGCCAGCGAACGCCCGTCAACATTCCATGCAAGAGCCAGCCTTCCTCTACCGTCCCGAAACTTAAGGGGACCCCAACGACGAAGCGATCTGGTGGCACGCCCAACAGCCATAAGTCCCAAACGGCAGCCCGGGATGAACGTAAGACATTTCCCGTACTGCTCAAGCATCCAGACTTTATACAAGCTTCTGTACTGTCGGCCATTGCAGCTAAGTTTTACTCTCTCGCACAGGGCGGTTGGTGTCCAATTTGACACCCGCACAATTACAGCGCAAAAGAGCCAATGACCGAAGGCTCCAGCGAGACTATCGGGCAAGGACCCGAGCCACCATCAGTTCCCTCGAGGAAGAAGTACAGCACTTGCGAGGCTCACAGGCCAAGGACAACGAGTCTACCCGTGAACTCCACCAGCGCAACAAAGCCCTTGAGAAAGAGGTGCAGGTCGAGAAGCAACTTCGGACGGACGACGGCGAGACTATTCATCAGCTACGTCAGCGTATCCAAGCTCTTGAGAAAGAGATGCAGGATGAGAAACAACTCCGGATCAACGATAGCGAAGCCATCCGTGAGCTGCATCACTGTAACCAAGTCCTTGAGAAAGAGTTGGAGTATCAGAAACAACTGCGAATCAATGAAAGCAAAACTATCCATCAGCTTCGTCACAGATATCAACTTTATGAGCCAGACTTTGGCTCTCTTTTCTGGGGGTCGGACACACTATATTCGTCTTCGTCGGGTTCGGGGACAATTGTTGACACTGCAAGCCCTGAGGGCACTTCTAACGGGGAATTGGCTTGCGTTCAAGTTCCTTTAGCTCTCACTCAGACACATAGGCGTCAGTCGACAATGCTGCCGCTTGAATCAGTAGCTGATCTATATGCACCTTGCGTGTGACACAATGGAGACTGATGTAGACGCCAACCAAAGGTCGGAAGAAAAAGAAGTTTTTTTTTTTTGGGGGGGGGGGGATTGATTCTTCTGGTCCGCTGAATTGACGGTGGTGGCACTTCAGTCTTTTGCGATGTATTCCATGGCCTCGCCGCCGATGGTTTCAGAGTCGCGACGAGTCGCTCGTGGCAAGGGGACGTTGACGGTACTTGTCTTCCTTGCAGGATCCGTGCCTGGGTAGATGCACAGGTTTGATCGAGGACGTTCCGAAGAATGCACACATTTGCTGCTATCGGACGACAATCAAGCCCCTCTTATCCCCGTGGAAGCGAAACGCAGTGGTGTGGTCGCGTATCTTGTTGTAGCTGTGGTAGACCTTGAAGCTAGGAGGAAGCTACCGACACGCTTCACTAAAGCACGCGCCCACAAGGCAAAGAAAGCCTCGCTCTCGCCACTACGGTGACACCCTGAGGCTCTTCATGCCGCCCACATCGGCAGCTCCAGTAGCTGGTTGTGGTGTCAGGGACGAGGGTATTACGCGAGCGACACTGTTGGGACTGGCTGTGTCAAGCCTCACCATTTACTACGTCTACGCCTTTCCATTTGATGAAAGATAACTATGATCTTCCCCTGCATAGGACCATGACGGCGTTCCGCACCTCCGCGCTGACGGGATGGAAAGGCCGACTACGAGTCAAATTTAAGGGCGAACCTGGACGCGTCTGAACCCCCCTTGGTACTGCTCATCTAGGTAAATTTTATCCTTGACTCCCTGTGACTTGAGCCGTGCGCATGGCCGTCTGACTCGTGACTTTTCCCTTGTGGCCGTACCAAAGGGTATCGGTCCACGCCTGCAGATCACCGACGGGGTCTCGCACCAGTGGCACGATCAGGCGAGGTGTCTGCATCCGTGGATAGGCGGTAGCATGCCTCTCGCTTCTAGCTTTGCCTGCGATCATGATGAGGGGAAAGTTGACCTGCGATTCGTCTCCATTGCGAGTCGTGCTGTTTTGGTCTGGCACAACGCGGGATTCCAAACCCCCCTTCAGCAGTGAGCTGGCAGGACTTGGCCCCATGAGGCGCGCACCACGATCCCGCGTGCATATTCACAGGCTATACTTCGCAGCCTTGTCCGTAGCATGCGCCTGGAGACACGTGATAAAAGCTGCAGGGAAACGCCAGGGCGATGCAATCCCTGTTTGTTACCCGAACCCACGAGGCAATGCGAACTGGCTTTGGCGGCCGTGTGCGATGGACCCCAAAAAGGAGCGGGTGGCTTAGCCGGTTCGTTCTACAGGTGCGTAATGTCGGGGCCTCTCTGCTACTGCGGGCTGCGCAGCTATTCCGGTTCATTCTTGTATGGCCCTGGGGGTTCTAGCAGGCTGCTTGAATAAAAATCGGCGTCCGATTCGCATATTATTTTCTACCTAAACTCCGTAGCCGGGTCACTTGGCAACCTAAAGATCGCAGATTCAGAATATCGCCATTCACCCCATATCTCAGCACATTGAGCATGGAGCCCCCCACTGCGCAGACCGCTCTGACGTACCACGAGGAGTCTGATTCAACGGCCGGAGATGGAAAATTTACCTTGGACATCTACGGAATGGAGCTTCTCGACTTGGGCGAGGAACCAGAAGACGGCGGAACATACTCGTGTCTAGCACCTGGTTGCAGAAAGGCATTCCGAGAACCAGACGTCTTGGAGTTTCACTCTAAGCGGTGCAAAAAGCTGAAACCTACCGCCTCGCCAGATGCTGCTGCAAGAATTGTGCCGCCCATCCCATACGTCGCAATTGAGCGGACATCATGGAGCGATGTCACCCAGAACGCACCGGCTGAATATCACAGTACAGACGACCGTCAGTCGAATAAACTGCAAGTCAGTGCAAGCCTCACCCTATACCTCAACATAGAGGTAACTCCAGAGAGTTCGTAGTGAGTCGCTTCATCTGCTGACACCAAAGTAGGCGCCAATGCCCGATTCAAGGGCCGAATTTTCTCTGCAGAGGTTCCAAGGTTTTTCGAGCCTGCCCCGGATCGAGGATGCTCACACGCCCATTTTGACGACGTTAAAAGGCTCATCACATGCTCTAGCCCCTGGCGCAGAGACGTCCCAGGCGCTGAAAGTGGATGCTACATTCAGATGTCAAACGAATAGGCACGACAGACAGCCTGTCTTACGCGCTGTTCAGCAGAACAAAGAAACACAGTCGCTATCTTTGTGTGGAAAGTCTTGCCTTGGCAGCAAGTCCGCAGAAATGGCATGCACAATTTGCGGCGCCACCTTCAAACGCATGCAGAACCTTCGGAGGCACCAAAAACGGCACGCAGGCAAACGGCCGCATGTTTGCCGCAGGTGCCTTATTGGATTTTCCAAGGAGCCTAAGTTGCTCGGACACATATGCCATGGGCGTTCGGAACGCCTAATCCTGGGGGCAGGGTGGTTTTCCATACATGGAAAGGTGTGCAATCCATACTGGGGTATCGCCCCACATTTATTGCAAGTATTGCAATACGCCTTTCCATACCTG